GTAAAAAGTATAAAAACAAGTTGATTTGGATTTTAAGAAAACAAGAAGGAATATTACAATGATTTATTAGACAAAAGTGTAAGTGCCCATGACAACTAAGCGACATGACAACTAATGAACAGTGTCTTAAAGAGCCACAAAATCAGACATTTCACAACATTTTGTAAAGGATGGAAAGGGCATCATAATCAAAATGAAATAGTAAATGGATTTAATAATTATTTTGTGAATGTTGGTCAAAGTCTTACAGCTAAAATACCAAAAGTAGATAGAAATGTGAGTCATACAGTCATGGGTTGTACCAACGTTATTTTTCGTGATGGAACTGACAAAGAAGAAATCATGAATATTGTAAAAAATCTTGCAGACAAAAGATCAAAAGACTGGGTGGACATGGATATGATGTTTGTAAAAGAAACTAGACAAATTGTATTTCCTGCAAAAATGCTACTGTGAACTCCTGTTGCTGAAAACTTTAGCTGAAAGCTGCTGAAAACGAACTGAAAATGTTTAATAGCAAAAGTATTATTGTAAGTTAAACTTGATAAGCTGAAAAAAAATGCAGAAAAACAGTAAAAAGGAACAAAAATACAGCTGAAATAGCATAAAGAAGCTAAAATAGCTGAACATAGCAGAAAGCAACTGTAAGAAGCATAAATAACTTAAATTAGCAGAAAGAAGCACAAAAAAGTAAAAATTWGCATAAGAATAACAGAAAAGGGCAGACATATAGCTAAAATACTAGAAAATAATTGAATTTGCAAAAAGGTAGCTAAAATTGTCACAAGGAATTTAATAAGAGCATAACCAGAACATAATGTCTAAGCTTTGGCTCCAATTGTGGAATTTTTTGAGGCTTCAATTTGTGATAGAGCTTGCTCTCAGCTACCAGTAGCTTGCTCTCAGCTACCAGTACATCAGTTTTCATGTCAATATCTCAAACAATGGCTGAGGAAAAGGTCTTTAAAACTAGCTTTGACTGCCATCTTGGATTTTTATATATTTTTTGGCTGATATTTGTTTTGCTTAGCTGAGCTAAGTCTCAGCCACCAATATATTAATTTTTAGTTCATATCAAAAATTGGCCAAATTCAAGTAATTTGAACTAACTTTAGCTAATAACAGCTGAACATTAGCTGAAATTGCAGCAAATAGCTGAATGATGCAGAAAGCAAATGTAGGAAGCATATGTGGCACAAAGTAGAAAAAATAATTACAACAAAATAGTAAATAGCAGAGAAAAAGCAGAACGAAGCTTAATTTTAGCAAATATGGCAGCTAAAAGCTAAAATTAGCATAGAAAGGTAGCAGACTCAAGTTGAAAGGAGCACCCAGATGGTGAAATAGATGTAAAAAATTCTGAATTAGCAGAAAAAAAACAAAACTACTACAAACATGTCAACCTCTTTGGATGTTTACCTGTATAAAGAGCCTCAGAAATCCAAAAATTTTGCAAAAAATTCCGTACAACTCGCACCCGCAAGGGGTGGGGCTCTGTCGGCTGCGGACATGAAAGCGCCCGCTGTGAAGCAGGAGGAAAGGAGAGCGGAAAAAGTTCAAAACTTATTTCTACCAGCAGAACAGGTTGGAAGATGGCTGTTTGATGTTATTTATTGATTTTTAAATCATCCTACAGGCTCTGACATGTTAGATAAATTTGAAAATGAGGTTTTGAAAAAATCCGTAAGACTTGAAAAAATCAGTGAGATTGCTCTATACGTCTGTATAACTGCAAAATGACGTAAAATCCTTATAACTTACGGACAATCCGTACAAGTTGACATGTATGCTACTAAAAAGTGATCATTTGTGGTAAAATAACTAAAACAGACAATTTTTTTTAGTAAAACAGCCAAAAAGTAGCTGTAAACATTTTAATTAGCATAAGGATGCATAAGGACCACAAGTTTGCTGAACTTACCAGAATGAAKTTGTAATAGCTAAAAAAAGTAATGTATTTACCTGTACCTCGCACTGTGACTGCTGGATGTGGGCACCAGTGACCCACGTGACCCTGAAAGGAAGAGGCGTGTACAGAAAATGTATGGATGGAAAATGTATTTAGTTTAAAAAAGCTAACTTTAGCTAATACCAGCTAAACATTAGCTAAAAGTGAAGCAAAAGGCTGAATATAGCAGAAAGAATCTGTATGATGCATAAATAGCACAAAGTAAAGAAGAATTACAAAAACAAGTAATTAGCAGCGATAAAGCAGAAAGAAGCAGAATTTAGCTAATATAATAGCAAAACAGCTAAAATTAGCCTAAAAATAAGCTAAGGCTAGCAGACTCAAATTGAAAGTAGCATCCAGATGGTGAAATGGTTGTAAAAAATTCTAAATTAGCAGAAAAAACCCCCATAAAACTACTGAAAAGTGATCATTTGTGGTAAAATATCTAAAAAAGCCGAAGTTTTTAGTAAAACAGCTAAAACGTAGCTGTAAACATTAATTAGCATAAGGAGCACAAGTTTGCTGAATTTAGCAGAAATAATAGTAATTGTAATAGCAACAAAAAATATGTATTTAGCTTAAAAAAGCCAACTTTAGCTAACACCAGCTGAACATTAGCTAAAGGTGCAGCAATTAGCTGAATATAGCAGAAACCATCTGTAAGAAGCTCAAATAGTCCAAACTAGCACAAAAAAGTAGAAAAAAGCAGAAGAATAGCAGAAAGAAGAATTGTAGCTGAAATAGCAAAAAAAAAAAAAGAGATAAAATTTGCAAAAAAATATCAAATTTGCAGAAGGGATTAAAAAAGAGCATAAGCAGAACAAAATGTGTAAGGTGCTGTAAAGATTTAGAAACATTTTAAAGGAGTTTAAGGATATTGAAAACAGCTCTTTACAATGGCAAAAAAGTGGCTAAAAAAGTGAAATAGCTAAAAAAGTATAAATAGCAGAAATACCTAAACTCATAGCTGGAATGTCCTGAATGAGGGGAACGTTTTGAYATGAGTTGTTGAAATAGCATAAAAATTGTGGAACGAGAAAGGGGCCAAAAAACGTACAGAAGAAAAAATGATCTGAGTGGTGTGAAGGCATTCACACTAATAATGAGTTTTATGTYATGGCCCGGCTCTTCAAAACCACAWCACAAGTGGAATCACGACACAGGATGCCAGTTTAAAACCTTAAAAGGCATTTTATTTAATTGTCTAGGAGTAAATGTGAGAATGTTTTGTCCCCACCAGTGCTCCGTATTTCACAGAAGCACTGGGGTTTGTTTGTATCTCACCATCTGGACCAGCACCAGATCCGATTTTGCCTCRAACAGGTTTGTTGTCTGGACGTCGCCCCGACAACCGTCGTGCTCCCGATGAACTTYCGTGTCCACAGTTTAAGGATTAGGATTAAAGCATGTTCACGGTTTGCTTACTAGACCCACTGRGTGGATCAAAGATTTCCTGACCAGGCATGCACAGTCGGACGTGAGTCTCACTACTTCCCRTTAATTATGTACAGGGTGTCCATGGGTCCTTAAAAAGTCTTAAATTCACATATCTAAAATTAAGGCCTTAAGACCAAAAATATAAGTGATGTGTCGCTCAATAAAACATGTTTAATATAAAGATATTCAGCTCTCTGGTTAARTTAGYYGTATTTTACAAGTGCAGAATTTGTTTGGAAACAACCAACATAAAATACATCTACTAAATGCATTCATGGCATGAAACTTGTGTTTTAACCTCCAGTTTTGTCTTTATACAAAAATAAATCATCCAGCCATCTGTCAATAAACAACAAGCACTTTAACCTGCAGCATCGCTATCCAACAAATGTCTGGAGAGAGGTTTTAACAACTTTCCTGTAGTTTATTTTTATGTAATATCAGTGTTTTGAATTGAGGGACTCTGATATATTTGAAAAATTAAAGCACATTAAGTCCTCTATAAAGAATATATTACTTGTAAGTTCATTTTAAATTTGTTTTTTTGTGTTTGACAGATTTCTCCCCTAAAAATCAACATTTCATTCAAAGGGAATATTTGTAATCACACTGATTGATGATTTGGGATCCTTCTAGGTGACCTGTGACCTGTTATGGTCAAAGGTTTTCCGTTACTAGTGACCAATGTGTGTGCAACTCCTACATTGGTAGGAGTTGGATACATTGGATAGTCATACTATTTATTTTTCATATTTGATCATTTATGAATTATATTTATCCTAGTTCAGTTATTAGTATAGTTCTAAAGATAATAAAAGTTTAGCGCATCCAGACAAAACACCTCATTATTATTAAAACATTTTGTAGAATTAAGTTGTTCTTCACAAGTTTGACAGAAAATTAAATTTAAACTGAGACAACCATCTTTGCTGTGATCTAGAGCAGTCGTTCCCAAAGTTGGGGTCGGGACCCAAAGTGGGGTCCTGAAACATCAAGGTGGGGTCCTGAAAAGATTTTCTGAATTAATTACATTTTTGCCTTAGTTGTTACAAAGGAGTGAGGTTAGTGTATTTAAAATGGATAAATGTAGTATAAAAATATTGTTACTATGCCCATGTTTAGTTGACCTGATACAAATGTTTATCATCCAAAAATGGTGGCACAAGTTTCTGCTACTGTTATTTTGTGGGTCAAAAGCTGAAAGGTTTGGGAACCACTGCACTTTGGTTCCCAAAGTTGGGCTTGGGACCCAATTATGGGTCATGAAGCACCTTGGATAATCTCCAGAAATCAATTTAAAGGGTAATAAAATAGATGCTGATGTAATATTTTCCCTATAATTATGACAAAAACACAAAATAACTATAAATAAGTATTTATATTTATGTACAAGCTGTTTAGATTGTCAAAAAGCCTGTGTTTTTAGGGTTATTAATGAAGTTCGTGCACTCAGACCAGTAATATTTGGGGTCAAGTTTTTGCCGTGGATATGTTAGTTTGGGAACCACTGATCTAGAGTCTACAAATATTCATCTTTTAGTGTTAATAAATGTTTAATAACTGAAGCAGCAGCTACAACTTCTCTCTCTCCATGAGAAAAAGGATGAGCTCCAGCTGTGTCGTGCTCTCTTTGTCAGGCCTGGAGTTGAACTAATCTGTAGCTGAAGGCTTTTCTTCTCTCATCCGTGGAGTTCTGAATTTTTAAATCACACGTGACACTTCATTTATCCAGCCCAGTTCACAGGCCAAATAACCTCACTTCCCTTTACCTTTTGTCTGTCTCACAGCGAGATGATGTTTACAAGCATGAAGGTGTGAATTAGAGTGGAAATGACTGTGTATCAGGGTTAATGCTGGATTGAAAGCGTTGTTGGAATCGATGTAAAATTATTTAAACTAATAAATCCTACCATTTTTTAGAATAAAATGTAATTTTTAATATGATGGCAGCAATACATCCTAAAAGTTGTTCCATATTTACCAAATGTCACCAAGCAATTTGTGATGGTGTTTAGGCAGCAGTAGTGATATTTGTATGTTGTTTTTTTTTTTTTACTGCAAGACTGAAGTTGTGGTATATTTGTTCAAGGTTACTATCCTACCAGCTCTGATGGCTTCTTCTGTCTCTGCAGGGTTCTGACGTTGATGGAGACATGAAGGAGCTTTTAGACGACACTCGCCTCCTCAAGAAACTAAAGAAAGGCAAGATCAGTGAAGAAGACTTTGAGCAACAGCTAACAAGTCTCCCAAAGTTAACACACAAACCAGAAGGACCATAAGAGAAACACTTGGGTTTTTGCTGGAGAGTTTTTATTGCAGAAAGGCACTGTTATAAATAAAGCTTGATGAGTTCATCACTGACAGCTGATGGGGTGAGGACTCCCAGGTCTGTGAAGAGGAGGGTGATGAGAGAAGGTGGGGTGTAATCAATGATGGGATGTTCATCTGACAGGTTCTGCACAGTCTTCAGAGTGTCKGCTTTATACTGTCAGGACGAGGAGGAAACAAAAATAATCAGAACAGAAAGAGTAACAAACCACAACAAAAATAAGTATGAAGTTTAACCTTAAATTTATCTGGTACATCTTGTTGATTCAGAGGATATAGGCGCACAAACTTGAAACTTTCTGCAACAACATAGAAGGGCTTGTTGTGAGCTTTGGAGCTCAGGGCCATCTGATAAGTGCCGATCTGAAATTGATAATGAAAAGCAATATTTGTTTTATTATACTTGTTTAATACATGTTTTGAGAGAGTTTGTTTTCCTCAAAGCGTGAATGTTTGTACTTAACCTCTCACAAAAAATTCAAACAAAAGCCTGAAAAATAAAAATGTATAAAAAAGGTCCATTCTTTTTTTGTAATGCACTTTGATGCCAAACCTCAAAGTGCTATAGGGGCAAATGGATAAAAACAGCAAACATAAAAAGAACAAACAAATATACATAAATAAAATAAGCTTTTATCAATATAAGATTTCCTAATAAGGAAAGTTTTCAGTTTTTTCTTGAAAGCATCAACTGTGTAGAGATCTAAGATGATTCAGAAATCACTGTTCATCACTTGCAACTATTAAGCTGTGCTGCCTCATTTTGAAAATCACATCCTATTTCCATGTGCACAGCTTGGAAAACTATATACCAGGCATTGCACATTGTTTGTCCACTTTGTACCCACCTTGGCAGCCACTCATTCATTTAGAAATTTATCAACTAGAGTACATGAAGACAGATTTGTAAAAGTTAATTTTAAACTTTATTTTTAATTGCAACAACAGGGCTCAAAAGCCTCTGACTCAAGAGGTGAGAATGAGACATTGGAGAGTACCTGTGAGTGCTCTTCATCAACTAGTCTCTACTCAGTGAGATATATTTAAACAAACAAACAAACAAAAAGATRATGGCAACATGAGAATGATGTGGCGGCAGCACTTAAACCAGTTTATATTTTTTTGTGTATCAAGTAGGCTTGGGTGGTGGGGAGAACAAGTATTTGATACACTGTTGATTTTTCAGGTTTTCCCACAAGCAAAGCTTGTAGATGACTGTAATTT